CTCTGGGAGTAAAGGCAACCCCAGCAGTAACCCAGCATCCCAAGCCAGATGAGAATCTCAGCTCTGCTTTCAAGATTTGAAGGGATGTTTTAATTCCACTGAATGTTTTATGTACCTGGAAATCCAAACAGGCAAGAAATATGTTATCAGGCTGATCCTCTAAGGAATTCTCTCAAACACACACACTTCTAGAGCATTAGCTGCCTGAGATGCAACACCATCTTTCATTTGGAAAGCTGACTGCATTTTGCAGTTAAATGGCAGCCTAATAGTTTCAGTCTGCAAAAGCTTCCATACCTGAGTTCTAAAATCAGTTTCCAAAGGTGATGGGGCCGGGAATGGAAATGAGAGCAAATGAAGCTTAGGGACCCAGATCATAATAACTCTTGGAGCAGCTACTTTTGTTAACAACACTGAATGCACGGTTATGAGCAAGGAGTGGGATTCACTTGCCTGTCTTTGCACCCATCAAGCTGGAGAAATGTGCTTCTGAAAGGGCCACCTGTGCTATCAGCATTAGTTCCCTCTCTCCCTGTCTCCCTCCCTCCCTCCCCTCCAACTGTCCCCTGGCAAAAGCAGAAGGCGGAAAGGAAGATGTGCAGGATTCTCCTTGAACTGCTTCCATTCTAGCAGCTCCTTAAAAGTGGCAACTAAGAAACAGTGCCTAAATTTGCTCATTTCCTCTGCCATCTTTGTCTCTGTGTCTTTCTGGACTGAAAGCCCAAGCGTGGGGACTGTCTTGCTTTTATTGAGCTGCAAGCCATCCTGGGTGTCTTCTCTGACTGGAGAGAGGAGTGGAAAATATTTAAATAACTAGGCCTGGTTGAGCATCTTGAACCCCACAATGGCCAAGCAGATATCTCCGGGAAGCTCACAAGCAAGACATGAAGGCAAGGACCTTTTTCTGCTGTTGACTCTTCTCCCAGCACCTGCTACTTAGATGTACTGGTATATTGCCTTGGAGCACACAGGCTAATTGCTAGAGGATGATTTAGCCTCCAGGAAGGTGTCAATTCCCTCTTAAAGCCATTGGCCATCACCTCATCCTCCACCAGTAAATTCCACAGGTTTTGTGCTGTGTGCTTCTTTCCCCTCCTCCACACCTCCTGAATTTACTGTTCAATTTTATTGAACTTCCAGGTTCTAATAGGCGGGAAGAAAAATCTTCTTATCCCACCTTCACCCCAACAATCACAGATTTATCAACCTCTACTAGGCCCCCACCCTCAACAATCTTTTTTCCAACCTAGACAGCCACAACAGCCTTCTCATGGGGGAGCAGCCTCCTGATCACATCAGTTACCTTTTTTCTGCACTTTTTGCAGCTTTTCTGAAGTGAAGAGAGCAGAACTGGCCATTCCTGGATCAGGATAGACCACGGTTGCCTGTGCAGGGCTGGCTTACTGCTATGCACTTTATGTGAAGATATCCTTGGGGGTGCAGAATGCAGTGGCAGGATTGCCTGTGGATGCTTATACCTTGGTCAGACCTTTGGGCCTATCTAAATCAGTGCTATCTACTAGAATTGGCAGTGGTCTTTCTCAGCCTCACCCAGAGATGCCAGGAGTTGGACCTGGAACTACTTCCCCTTCCTGTGAAATACAGAGCTGGCTCAGAAATGCTTCCCTGACAGATGAGGTATTCACTCCTGAGCAGTGTTAGAAATTCAGTTATATAAGCTGGGCACCAAATGGCTCCTTAAACCAGGGTTACAGTCACCAAAACAGAATGTGTAGTTGCCATTTTGAGGCCAGATGACTTTTGAGTTCCAGAAATTCATTCTGATTGTGCAGATGGATAGAATTTTACAGGATGGGGTATTAGTGTGTGAAAACAGGGGAAATCCAAGGATCCCCGGGCATGGTGGAGATGGCAGGTGCCATTCTGGTGCCCAGTCATCTTCACTTGGTTGCAAGTGGCCAGTAGCCAGGTGTAAAAGGCACCTGGTGCCCAGCAAATTCCAAACGATGCTCCTGAGGTCTACTCAGGTGGAGGAAAAAGTTAAGGAAGAACCATGTGTGCTCTGGAGGTAGGAAGGGGATGGGGTGCCCAAGATGATATAAGCCTCCAAATTTCTCTTGGGGGGGAGACTGTGGGAACCGTTATAGGCAGGCTATTCCATCTGCCTTGCCCAAGGAGGGAGGAGCTGCTGTTTAGGTACCTACTTGAATTCATACTGAGTTTCCTGTGCATTGCACCAAAAGGAGTAAAGGTGATGAAACTAGGCTGCAGAGTACAGAAATTCCACTTATTCCTGTAATTTCTTGAATTACATGGGTATTGATTTAAACTGGTTCCATATTTACAGGATATATTAGGACCAAACCTCCAGTCTTTCCTTGGTAAAAAATCAAACTGTCCTATTTAAAGGGTAACACATTTGATATTTTGAAATCATAAAGTGAAGACAGAATGTGATTTTAATAATGCAAATCTATTAGCAACCACCTTAACACTTCAGTTAAACTGCAGTCTATCTCTTTGTAAATGTTCCCTTGTTTGTTTGTTTTTTAAATTGCTTCAGGGTCATAATTTTCAGCATCTACTTTTGGAACACCTTGTTTTTTAAAATCATTCTTTAATGTAATAGGTGGAACTTAGAATGCTTAAATCGCACTGTATTTTTTTTGTTAATAGTTTCACTGTATTTTTTGTTAATAGTTTGTGGCATTAACTACATTGCTCCTTGGTAATTCCTTTACAATGTTAAGCAGCCCTTCAGAGGGGCAGGCAGAGGCCAACTGAGCGTCATTCTGGTCCCTGCCTGGCCTGCTCTCCCTGCCAGCAAGTGGGAGTGTTTGCACAACAACAGTTGCTTGACCTATGCAGCATCTGCCTGCAGGCAAGAGGTTTTCTGCTGCTTGTGGGCTATTGTGTGATGGCTGACTGAGTGGATGAAACTGGGGTGGAGGGAAAGCCCATGGCTTCTCCTCCAGGGGAAGAAGAATGGTTACAGAATCCACATCTACTTGTATCGAATGTGATATGGGGGTGACAAAATGTTTTTGAAACATGGAACCCCTCAACCCCCCTTTTTAAAAATAAAAAATAATCATTATTTGAAGAAGATGCAATGGAAACTGTGCCACAAGATTGTGGGCTTATTGTTTTATCTTTTTGTAAACCTCTTTGAATTCTTTCTCTCTCTTTTTTACAACCACCCCCCCCCACCCTCTTGCAAAGATCTTTCTTCGCCACAACTTGCCTTTCTTCAGTTTGGGGGGTGACAGCCCTAAAGAAAAAGAAAAAGCACCAGTTTCCATCTTGCCTCCAACTTGTCTTGCTTGGTTTACTTCTGAAGTTCAAAAAAATGCACCACAAGTGCCATTTAGCTGCTATGCACTATCAAGCAGGCACAGTTGGATCACAAGCAACTTAGAAGTTCACTGGCTTCCGGGGTTTCTTGCTGAGCTGCCTACAGTGAAACAGATTTCAGAGTCTAAATTCTAAGCCCGCCTGCCACTCTCATTAACTGTAATGGCAACCGGGAGAGAAAAGAAATTGCCGAAGGGGCAGTGAACTGAGGAATGTCGAAGAGGAAGCCCCACCCCCACCCCCCCACCCCACCCAGTGGCAGAGCACTTATCAAACTTTGCTTTCGTGACCCCATTTTGAGAGATCTGTCTCCCACAGCAGCCATAAGATTAGCAAGCCATCCCAAAACTCTGGCACTACATATTTAATCAAGTTTACTGGAACTGGGTCTTGTGTAAACATGGTACAGCTTTCGCTCTGCAGCTGGAAAGCCACAAAAGGTTGGGCTCATTTCCTTGATCAAAGGAATGCCACACATCAAAATTCTGTTTCCCTCACCTAGTAAGGTTGCCCTCCACACACTTCCACTCTCCCTACCTCCCCCAAATTGGGCAACTTCATTTCTAGAGTCTAATTCATCTGGTCTTCATAATCTAGCATTAAATCCAAAGCCATTCAAACAGAGCTCAAATGAAGTTAAGAAATGGTTTCTTGCATATCATTTTCACAAGAAGCCATATCCCGCTAAAAAAGAGTTATATAATTACTGCCATCCATTCTGTGTGCTTGGAAAGCTGATGTTGGATCATTCTTTGGGAGAAACAGCCTCAGATCTTGCCCCAGTCTGATGCTCTAAGCCACACGAACACCCAGGCTCTTGGCTCAGGGGATGCAGTGGTGCAGTGTGGCACACAGGAAACAAACCCATGATGCTGTCAAAAAAGCCAAACATGGTGTCTGCACAACCCTGGTTGTTACTCTTAATGCCATGGACGTAGAGGATTTACAAAATACAAAATATTTGAGGCATAGTCAGGAGAGTTGCACTAGTAATCTTGAAATTGCTGTCCTTCCACTAAACATTTTAGATTTCTCAATTCTGCCCACCAAGTCACCCTTGAAAAATGGTAGTACCAATGTAAAAAAACAGCTCCTGTTATTCCAAGGTGAGCTGCAAAAGGCAATAGTATTGTAATTTTTTTTTTATTCTCAGATTACATTATGATTTGCAATCTTGCTTCATATTAAAGTGGTCAGAAATGTAATTACGAAAACAATGCTGTTTATGGATGCACATACTTTTAAAAACATAAATACAAATTCAATCTGTGTATAAAAATAATAAATAAGTCACACAAACACTTTGACTCTCGGCACAGCGGACGCATGAAACCAAATCCACCTCTAAACCCCAGAGGAAAAGGGGGCGTACAAAACAGGCCTGCGCTTGGCGATGCAACACCAAGGGGGAGAGAAACATCCTGCATTTCCCTCCTGATCATCATTTCCTGTGATTCCCTTCAGTATTTCCCTACTCCCAAGGCTGTGTTTCGATACTGAGAACCCATACTATTACGTGCATCCATGTTTTAAAAGTGTCTGGAATTAATTCATTTATTAAGGGTCCTGACTACGCAGCTTGCTCTCAAAGCCTGATGGAAGGCAAAGGGGATGCTAGGTAGACTGCTTCAGCTTCTTGAACCAATTGAGGTGTTTAGGAGTGGGGGAGAGGAGAGCCTGTAACACAGGCATAGGCAAACTCAGCCCTCCAGATGTTTTGGGACTACAGCTCCCATCATCCCTGACCACTGGTCCTGTAAGTTGTAGTCCCAAAACATCTGGAGGGCCAAGTTTGCCTATGCCTGCTGTAACACTGCGACCAAATAGGAGGCTGAACACTTGACTCCAATTATATTATGATTACATTACAACAGAGCCCCTATCATAACCATCCATTAACCTGTGGGCTTAAGTAATAATCAGAAACCATTTATAATGCCCATAATGTCTTAGACGTGCATTTTTAGAAGTTGATTCAGTAGCACTCTCCCTCCCTCCCGCAGTCAGAGAAATGTGGATCTTGTGCATTAGAGTGATGCTTAACATGGCTAATAACTGTGAGCGGCTTAAAGTGGATTGTGAGTTTCCCTTCTTAAAGCATCAAAGATTAAAGAGACAATTTAAAGCACACACAGAAAGCCAAGGGGAAATACAAAACAAAAGCAGCAGCAGCAGCAGCATCCTGGCAGCAGGGAAAAACAGAAAACCATTCCACTCCATCATACAGTGGAACGTTTCAGCAGCCCATGTAACTTCGAGAAGCTCTTAGCCCAAATAAGTCATGTCAGACTAACCTGATCTCGTTTTTTGACAGAATTACAAGCCTGGTAGATGAAGGGAGTGCAGTGGATGTAGCCTACCTTGATTTCAGCAAGGCATTTGACAAGATGCCCCATGATATTCTTGTAAAGAAGCTGGTAAAATGCGGTCTTGACCATGCTACCACTCAGTGGATTTGTAACTGGCTGACTGACCGAACCCAAAGGGTGCTCATCAATGGTTCCGCTTCATCCTGGAGAAGAGTGACTAGTGGGGTGCCACAGGGTTCTGTCTTGGGCCCGGTCTTATTCAACATCTTTATCAACGACTTGGATGATGGACTCAAGGGCATCCTGATCAAATTTGCAGCTGACACCAAACTGGGAGGGATGGCTAACACCCCAGAGGACAGGATCACACTTCAAAACGACCTTGACAGATTAGAGAACTGGGCCAAAACAAACAAGATGAATTTCAACAGGGAGAAATGTAAAGTATTGCACTTGGGCAAAAAAAACGAGAGGCACAAATACAAGATGGGTGACGTCTTGGTTGACCACAAACTTGACATGAGCCAACAGTGTGACGCGGCAGCTAAAAAAGCCAATGCAATTCTGGGTCTCATCAATAGGAGTATAGCATCTAGATCAAGGGAAGTAATAGTGCCACTGTATTCTGCTCTGGTCAGACCTCACCTGGAGTACTGTGTCCAGTTCTGGGCACCACAGTTCAAGAAGGACACTGACAAACTGGAACGTGTCCAGAGGAGGGCAACCAAAATGGTCAAAGGCCTGGAAATGATACCTTATGAGGAACGGCTAAGGGAGCTGGGCATGTTTAGCCTGGAGAAGAGGAGGTTAAGGGGTGATATGATAGCCATGTTCAAATATATAAAAGGATGTCACATAGAGGAGGGAGAAAGGTTGTTTTCTGCTGCTCCAGAGAAGCGGACACAGAGCAATGGATCCAAACTACAAGAAAGAAGATTCCACCTCAACATTAGGAAGAACTTCCTGACAGTAAGAGCTGTTCGACAGTGGAATTTGCTGCCAAGGAGTGTGGTGGAGTCTCCTTCTTTGGAGGTCTTTAAGCAGAGGCTTGACAACCATATGTCAGGAGTGCTCTGATGGTGTTTCCTGCTTGGCAGGGGGTTGGACTCGATGGCCCTTGTGGTCTCTTCCAACTCTATGATTCTATGATTCTATGATCTTAGGCCCTGCGACTGGGCAGGGGAGGCCCTGCTGCTGGTGCCACCACCAGGTGATACCCAGTTGGCATTGACCCATGGGCATCACCAGGGTTCTCTCTGTGGCAGTTCCCCATTTGTGGAATACTCTCACTGGTGAGGTGTGTCTGCCTCCTTTGTTAACTTTCAGAAGGAACTTAAAATCCTTCCTCTGCACCCAGACACTTCACACCTGAAAGTCCTGGCAAACTTGAAATTAGGGGGGAGGACTTTGAGAGAGAGAGAGTTTTTGCACAGGCAGAAGGTGAGTCCCAGAGAGCGAGAGAGGTTTGCAGTGCACAGGCCTGATCCAGTGCTCGTGGAGAGATTTCTTCTTGCCCTTGCAGAGGAGGCAGGTAGTTCAGATTCGGAAAACAAGAGAGTGGGTTTGCAAACAGGCCTGCTCTGGTGGAAAGCAGAAGATTCTGCAGTGCACAGGAAGCCAAGGAGAAAAAGAATTCAGTCAGTAGACTCAGCACAGCATCCGGAGTACAGTGGAGCAACTAAGACACGAGGGCACTGAAAACCCCGTGTGCCTTTGTAATGGATTGCTTTGAAGTCATTTCTGCACCAGGTAACATAATTTTTTGGCCCCCCGCCACCTCCCCCCGACCTGTCCTTTAGTAGCAACACCTGCCAAAGGTGGCAGCCCTAATGAGCCCTCTGGTCCATAATAAGACCCCCACAACTTGATTGTGGACGAACGCACTGATTTTCCTTGCATTATGGAGACTTGGTGAGTGAGCTGGGTGGGCCTGACCACACCCAACCAGCCCGTCTGGGTTCTCAATACTGCAGCATCTCATTGACCAGGAAACCCCTTGACCTTGGGATGTGCAGAGTGTGCATTTGCTCTTGGGCCAAAGACACAGATTGGGGATGCTGCTGGTCACCCGACCACATGGCTGCCTAACCCCTGGACAGTAGTTCAAAAACTTTGGGGTCGAATACAGCTTGCACTCTCTATGAAGAATTGTATTTGAAAATGCTTGTTTTTGAGGCTTTTTTCCATTTCTTTTTCATTGCTGATATGTTCCCCCCCTTCTTTTTTAATAATCTGATTTGATGTGTGTATATGTAATTTTTTTTAAAAAAATAAAAAACCACTTGGGGGTCTGTCTAAAAAAAAGTTCCTGCTTGGCAGGGGGTTGGACTCGATGGCCCTTGTGGTCTCTTCCAACTCTATGATTCTATGATTCTAACTTCTGGGGTGTCATGTGATCATTACCTGTTCAGGGGACTAGGAGCCAAATCCTCAGGCTTTGATTGGGGAATATCATCTCAGAAGGGGTATAAAACCAACATTTACCTTCTGCCCCATAAGCATTTTTTGCCTTCAAGGCAATATAGAACCCTTTGCTATTTCTGTAGCAGGCAACCCCAGCTACACCCTCTGAAATCAATGGGACAGGACACCCCCAGGCATCCCACATAAGAACAAAAGAACCCAGAGACCTCTTGGTATGATTACGTGGAATATTAATTTAGGATGCAAAGGAAACTCTGAGGGAAAGGGGGGAAAGTCACTGGGTAGAGTAATTGCAAAAAATGCAACACTTTCCAGAGAGGAGTTTACAATCTCTGAAGCACCAGGCAGATAATCAATGCCTAATTAGATCCTCTTACCATGATGCAGACCTCATTAATGCTCCTGTCATCCTCTTATCAACTGGGCTGCTCCCCCCCCCCATTCTTTCTTCATTCAAAAGGATCTGTCCTCTTACAAAAGCCCATCTTGATTTGGTAAGTGGAGGGAGGGGGAGAAGGGGGATGGAAAGTGGCAAGATAATTAATTTTTCAGCAAAAGCCAAGTTGTTGTTTTTCCTCAGAAACATCATACACTTCAGGAAATGTCAGAAGTGTCAGAATGCATAAGCAGAGGGGGAATCGGAGATCTGTACCCCATTAATACTGCATGACCTCTTTGGCTGCCTCACTTAGTGAAAGGGAAACTGGACATTCCGGGGGGGGGGGGGGCACCTGTCTCACAGAGAGGAGACAAAGCACCAGAATCTGCCATCATTTTAGAAGGGTTGCCTGAGATGGGAAACAGAAGACCAAAACATAGTAATAATCAGCAGACAGAATGGCATTTATTTAACACATCAAAAGGTGCTAAATTACTTTTTAATGAAATCCAGGGGAGGAAGCTTTCAGAGGTGCAAATCCTTCATAAAATAAGGAAGGAGGGAACTTGTGTACATAAGGGAACCAACACATTAGCCTAGCAACTTCCAATTTAACTTCCACCCTATCCATACTTATGAACATAAAGTGGAATTTCTGTGGTATCCAATGGAAGTCAACAGCTCTATGAAGCAACTGACAGTTCTTCTCCAAACCCTCTCATAACTGTAGCAGGAGCTGCTGGGGGGGTGTCTATCCATATTCACAATGGCAGCAATGAAGTCCTCACACAGTAAAAAAGATCGTTATCACAATTGCCCCTCAACTGACAGAAGGTGGGAGCCTCATCCCATAAGATGGTGCAGCCTGTGACACAACCTAAACCCCACAATTAAAGAAATTTTTATTTACTGAAAGCATTCCTTATCCCCTCCTGTTTTATATAAACATCTGCTTATATTTTCATTTTATACTGCACTTGCTTGATTATTAAACATCACTTGAAACACTGGTTACAATAGCTGCATTAGATCTGGTACAGAAGCAACTGCTATTTGTGCAAATGCAATCTAAAGTTTTTATAGATGGCACATTATAGTATGTTCTCCCCCCCCCCTTTTTTTTTTTAAGAGTGCATAATAATTGTTGGCTGTGTACCTGGCACCTTCATGCTGTTACAAGAATTTTAAGGTCTTTATATATATAAAATAATATATATATGTTCATAAATGTACCAAGCTGTCAGGGAACTGCCATCGGAGCTGGAGGCGGAGGGAAGGCTCCAGAGGGATGCCGGAGAGGGTCCCAGTAGGGAGAGAGGCAGCCCGTCCGCTGGGGAAGGAAATCAGCGTAACACCAGTGGAGAAAGGGGGCAGATGGGGGGAATCGGAGAGGAGGCTCCAAGACTCTTCGCCGGAGACCAGCGGAGAGAGTACGGGTCCTCCGCTGCCCACACCCTCCCTGCGCAGAAGGCTTCCGCGCAGGGAGACTAGGCGGAGACTAGGTGTCAAGGAACTTTTGTGCTGGAAGAAGTTCAAGAAACGCCCACTGACGGATTCTGCCAGCGACTGAGACAGCCACGAAGCTAGAGGCTGTCCGGTCAGAAAGGGTTCAACCAGGTAATCTAGCCAGGAATGGCGGCAACTTACGCACAAGCAACCCCTAAACCCATTACAGCAATCCGTCAGTCACCGA